GTACCTCTCCACTTTTACCTGTGCTGCTACATCCCCCCACAAAACATACACACACATTCAGAAGTTGCTCGTTTGATGCAACTTGCCATTCTTGACCTGTTCTCCTCTATAACTGCCCAAATACTCTAACAGTTTTTGTTAGGTTCCGTTTATCTCCAATATGCTTGCCTCTTCCCACTAATCATATGCTCAATCACATAGCTTTGGCACTGAAGTCCCTTATCATTACTTGCTTCACTGCAGCACTATGGACACCACTGTAACAGTATCCCCCTGTGTATTTTCTGTTCCCTTCAAGCTACAGATTTGCCTCCACTAAAAGTTTTAAATGCTAAAAATCAGGAGGCAGCAACCCATCCTTCATATCAGTTCTGGTTGACTAACTAATCCCAATATCAAGGGAACCAGGTAACCACCAGGTCTTTCAGTCAAAGACCTGCATGCTTCTCTCTGCACAGCTGGCATTTCCAGAAGTGTTAATCCCTCAGCAGAACCCTCACTAAAAAACAAATTTTAGCTACCTTGGAGAGACAGAGAGAGAAACAGGGTTAGTGGATCAAGTGAAAAGCATCATCATGTTTTGCTTACAGAAGTTTTCAAGGGTCAGCTGGAACTTTGTTACAATAGGTGCTGAAAGCTGTGTATGGTCAGCTCCCACCCTCACAGCTCCAGGATTCTTTGGAAAAACAAACAAACACCACTGTTCAAAGTGATTGTTTGTGTGTGCATTACAAGCAGGTTTAGAAACCTCCAAAAGAGATACTAAAAGAGATGTGCATGCTTTGAGGTTCCCCTGCATGGAGTATTTCAGATGCAACTGGAAAAGATATTCAGCAGATATTCAGGAGTCTGATACTGGCATTTCTGTCAAGTGAGACAGGAAACAGCCTGACCCCTGGTCAGACCCTGTTCCCTCTCTCTTTCAGCACCCAGTCTCTGCCACTGTGACACAGGGTACGTGCCAACTGACTTCATGGGACAAAGAAAAAACAGGGAAAGGAAAGAGGGCCAGCCGGTCAAAACAAGTGCACCAAGGGGGCACACTGAGCAGAGCACACTGGACAGCGCCCAGCGTGCCTCAAATGAGCCCAAGGAGCCAGCAGACACTCAGCTAGACAGACCTAGGTCTGGTCCAGTAAGTGGCAGCTCTTGCCCGCTTTAGCAGGCGTGAAAGACTCATCACTTTGGGCTGGCAGAGGGCAGAAGCCATGGGCTGGATGGTGCATCACAGGCAGGAAGATGGTGATGGCCTTTGGGGATGTTCAACGGGTATGGAGCATAGCGGCCTTTCTGCTCCCCACTGGGGGATCTACTGCCTTCACCTCGATGCAAGGAAACAGTGTCTGTGTGTCCAGTGAGCCCGAGAGTCTCCGAGCATCCATGTCCATGAGCATCTGAGCATTTCAGTGTTGTGTCCAAGAGCATCTGTGGGCCTGAGGCAGGGGGAGTCCTGCCCTCCTGTGACCTCTCCCCCAAGGAGCAGGGGACAATCCATGCTGCCCGGCCCAGCCACGGGGACACCCAGCCCGGCCCCTGCCCCGGCCCCCCGCACCTGTCTTGAAGATGAGGTTCGGGTCGTCACGATCGCCAAAGGAGTCGAGCATGGAGACGAAGAGGACCCCACACGAGTTCTGGATGCCGAACACCGACCCGTTGCACCACATGGCGGCTAGCATCACCACCCAGCCCCAGCCGCCCTCGGGGGGGCTGCTCCCGTCCGCCGGCGCCGGCCCCGCCACCGCCAGCGGCGCCG